TCACAGCAGGGCAGCGGATCACAGCACTGCGGTCGCCTTTCCAGACGGCAGCGGTGCTGTTCCTGCACTGGTGTGGTTAAGCTCCAGGGAAGATGGGAGGCCAGATGAAATTTTAATTCAGCTTGGAGTAACACGGCACTCAATTACGACAGTCAAGTCCATGTGATCCACAAGGGTTAAGCGTTGTGATCACCCTGCAGATGATATATATTCTCTCAAAAGACCAATCTACATGAATTCAACAAGCTCCAGAGCTGAAGCTGATGCCCAGGTAGACCAGACAAATGCGCATCTGGCTGGACTGGCAGAGGGGGTGAGGACAAGTGCAGCACTTACAGACAGACATCGGACAGAAGGACAGACAGGTGGACAAGACGGACAGTGAAGCGAAACCAGTTCAGACCTGAGGTCCAGGCTGCCAAAAATTCCCAGTGACCAGTGTGCCAGGAGCACCCTGCAGAGGAGAGAAATCACATTGCATCCTGCTGTTGTAAAAGACATTTTTCTTAATGACCCTTCAGTCAAACGCCCCCGTGAGAGTACGAAGCTGGGAAGAAGAGTAAGACGAGCAGGTGCTCGTCGTGGAAGGAGTCCCTGTTCACATGAAGGTACTCCTGACACTTGAGAAAGTGCCCTGCACTGTGCACAGTCTCCCTGTCAAATGTAACCCCACCACAGAAGGTGAAATTTGCACATTATTCTCACATGAGCCACAGTGTTATTGGGCTCACATCACAACCCCTATTAACATTACGTCCTGTATTGACATTGCACTTGGTCTCCGTCTGGTTTCCCACTGCACATGGCTCTACTGTTCCTTCCGGTCACTGTTCTTCTGGGGGGAAACCAGGCCCAGGTCTGAGCTGACAGGAGGAAGAGGCTTTGTCTTCCATACAGGAGAGAAACCCCAGAGCAAGGCCACAGCCTGTCTCAGCACCAGACCCGTGCAGTAAGACCGCTCTGCAGCGTCTGCACCTCTTCCACACTCCACCAGGAGTGAAAATTGTCTTAAGACACCAGACTTAGATAAACGTTTAGTGTCTAATCTGTAACTAAATAAATGAGTAATCTCCAGTTCAGAGTGAAAGAAACTTTCTCCTGTGTCCCTCAATCTCTTGATTCTGTCCCTCTGAGCTTCTGCTTTCACCCCTGGCTTGCAGGACAGGAGCTCCCAGACCCAGTCTGGCAGGGCCCCAGAGCAGCCTGGTGTCCAGGACAGGGGCCCTGAACATTGCCACTCGCACTCAGCTCCCCATGGTCTCGCTGAAGGAACTACTGGGTGAGGTGCAGCAGTGTAACAGACTGTCCAGGATCTTCAGGTGCTGCTGCTTTAAAAGCACCTGGAAACCTGCAGGAACACGCCCCCCCCCAGACTGGAGCCGGAGGTCCCTCCCCCACGGGATAATCATTTACAGTCCCAGATCAGGAGCCTGCGTATTCCCTGTCTGCCCTGCTGGGGGCGCCGCCGTCCCGAAGACGAGGCTGGGGTCGGGAGCACTCACAGGTCTGCCGGAGTTGGTGAATGTGGGGGGCTGGCAGCCGCAGTCCCCCGGCTCTCCCTGCGGAAACACACGACAGTCTTGTTACGCCCCAGCGCTGGGCGGGTGGGCTGTGGGAGGGGTGGCACCCATCACTCCATCACTCCCACTCACACCAGCAGTGCCACGGTCTCCATGACGACGGGACCGAAGCAGGACTGGGCACCCTCCCCCGCGCCACACATCAGCAGCCCAACCCAAAAACCCTGAAGGGGGGATCTATTTCATATCAAAAGGCATCTGTTTTTTTATATCAAAGGCATCTGTAAAGTCCGAATATTTATTTTTTAAATGACCTGAACTTTAGCCTTATTCTCTTATGCTCCTTCCTGTTTTTTTTTCATTCCTAAGTGAGCTTCGGTACCCTTAATGACAAAAAAATACCTTCGCCCACATTTCTGTTTTTCAAATAAAAAAAAAAACTGCGTCAATGACGGTAACACACCGAGGTGTATCATGTTACTTAAACACTGCTGTTTAAAACTCATCTCATTATCCAGGAGTGCTTTCATAAGCAACATGTCTTGTCTTCCCCCACAAGCGAAACTTCCTTGTCATCTCTCTTCTGTTCACAGACCCCTCAGGCTATCTCTTCCCTCTCTTCAAACCTCTGATTGCCATCTGTTCTGCTATTTTAAATCAGATCCTCCTTCAATCCCCGCTTTAAAACAGACTTGCCTTGTCTCCTTTGGGCCCACTTGTTCCCTGAAATAAAAGAGACAAACCTTTGTCATACTTGTCTTGCAGATCTGATCCAGAACAGTCAAGCCTCACAGGCAAGATTCAGACCAAATGAATGCTGGGATTTTAGAAATGCAGACAGCCCGTCACAGTCTGAATTAAAAATCAATGCCACCTTTGTAAAGGTGATTTATTCACATGTTGAGTGTTTATCCATAGACTCAGTGCACAGTACAGCATCGCAATTCTGACCCATTAGAAAGACTCTGTGACAATTAGCTTCAGTGCCTTTAGAAGCACAGGTCTGCAAAGCTGCGAGACTGAACCAGGGCCAAACAGGGCCAAGAGCAGCGTTTCAGCTGAGCCTGGACCGAGGCCCGGGTGGAAACAGAGTTACTCACCGGGTGTCCATCCCCTCCAGGTATCCCAGGAATGCCATCCTTCCCCTGCAACACCAAACCTTAGTTGGTCACCAGCCAGAATTTACACAAACTGTCATTTTCTGTTACTGCCAGATACCCGCCCCTTGCTTCGTCCTCCTTCTGGCACTGATCTTTCACCAGCACTTTCCTCACAGGATCTCCTTTGTTTCCCTCTGGTGTCGGCTTCCGTGCCTGATGTACGCTACACATAGTCCGCTCTCGTTTTACATTCTCTTAGACCTCGCCTCCCTCCTCCCCTCAGCTCCTCCCCTCCACTCCTTGTCCCACCTTCCCTCTCCCTCCTCTCTGGCCCCTCCCCCTCCCTCCTCCATAGCTCCTCCCCCTCCTTACTCCACCTTCCCTCTCCCTCCTCACTCTCTCTCTCCCTCCTCTCTAGCCCCTCCCTCACCCACAGCCCCTCTCCCTCCATACTCACTTTCCCCACCTCCCTCCTCCCTCGCTCCTCCCCCTCCCCTCTCACTCAGTCCCCCCTCCTCTCTCCCAGCTATCTCCCCATTCCTCCTCATTCGCTCCCTCCCCTCCCACCTCTATCATTCCCCCTCTTTGCTTGCTCCTCCCGCTCCCCCTTGCTCCGCCCTCCTCTGTGTTCGATGGACCAACATCCTTACCGGGGGCCCCATCACTCCGATGCCCACTGGTCCCAGGGGCCCTGGAGGCCCTTCTGGTCCTTCAGAGCCCTGCAGGAAAGACATGGGGTTCACCGATATTTAAGGCCAGAGGTGTGTTGCTTCAGTCTGCGGTATCTGCAGGGTTTGCAGATGCCTGAGCTACCTCTGCTAAACCTCACTAAATGTCTATGAAGCTGCCTAGGCCTGTGGCAATGCAGTCAATGGGGACTGGAGGTATGGATCACAAATTTAAGGATCTGTGGATTTTCTTTTTACAAGATACAAGGACATCTCCTCCAACAACACGACCAGACAGCCTGTTCCAGACACTAATATCCTCCTGCCTAAAGAAGTGGCTCCTCTTCCCATCTTAAACATGCTTTGCCTTGCCGCGTACTTCTGTGCGATCTGGCACCCCTGCTTAAATAATGGGGGATCCTGCAGGAACCTTCTCACCTTCTCTCCTTTGACCCCTCGTGGTCCCGTGGCTCCGGTCTTGCCTGCTGGACCCTGAAGGGGAACCACACACTGATCAGCACACAGCCAATACTGGCGCCACTGGTACCAGCAGAACCAGGAGGCTGCCTAACCATTAACTTGCTCGTCCCCTTGGGCAATAACTGAAATACTCCATTGGCTGGGACGTAACACAGAGGATCTCCAGCCGTGACCCTGCAGGCAGCGATGTTGACTACACGACTGAACACAGGCCTGCACCGACAGCAGTTCACTCAGCCCTGACACATCAAGCGAGCCTGGAGCCAAACTGCTCCTGCCTGCTGTTATTCCCTTTTAGGAACAACCGCAGTTTTCACTGAGCTTTCTGATTCGCTCTTCTCGTCACTATGGTAACGATCAGCGGTCAGCAAGCTCCGCCCAGCTGACCACGCTGGCTGACCCATCCCTGTTTCCTCGTTAGGGCTCTACACATCCTTGAGAAGATGAAACATCACGTACCTGCTTCCCGGGGGGACCCCTCTGCCCGTCCTCTCCCTGTGGGGAAGAAGCATGGTGTGGGTTGGTATGGTAGCACTATGTGTTCAGAGTGCTGCAGACTGAGGAGAGGCCTCAGAGGCCATATGTCAACGTGAACGTCACACTCCCCTTCCTGGTGTCTGTGTCTACAGCACCGCACGAGAGAAAACAACAAACACACTCGTAACAGAACCCAGAAACCTGAGGGCGACCACAACTCCTTTTGCTTCACTCCAGCAGGAGAGAGAGAGACAACAGAGAGTGACAGAGTGGATGTCTGGATTACCTGGGGTCCTGGGAGCCCCTGTCCTGCTACTCCTGGATCTCCCTGAAAAACAGCACCAGAAGGCAAAGCAGTCGTTAGTGCCTCTCAGCCAACTCCAAGACCCCCACTTAGTCCCTAAAGCCTGCCATTCTCTTTGCAAACTACGTCATTATAGTCATAGATACCACAAAGAACAAGATATAGGTCATTTATGTGAGCTCTCTATGGACCTCAGTATCATTAGTCTTCTTTATGGCCACTGCTAGGAGAAATATTTTAGACATTTTCCACTGCTCTGCTCTTAGCTCAGTTTTTCCTTTTTTATACAGAATCACAATTCCTGGTGTTGACCTCCTGTTGAAATTGTAGGTATCTTGTTTTAAGCTGACAAGTGATCCTGCTAGATGTGTGTTTTGTAGTGCAAGAAGGGGTGGTGTGGTTCTGTGTGCTGTTTGTGCACAGTGTGTGTGGTGTTTGTGTTGTATGTGCATGGTGTTCGAGTAGGACTGTTATCAGGAAGCATCTTCATGCACAGGTATACCTGATGGACAGGTGAGCTCTCTCAGACACATTGCCGTTCCTAACGGACAGGTGAACTGTCTCACGAACACACTGCCGTGCCTGTCGGACAGGTGAGCTCTCTCACGGCCACGTCGCCATGCCTGACGGACAGGTGAGCTCTCTTAAGGCCACATGAGGCAGGTGAACTCTCTCACAAACACACTGCTGTGCCTGACGGACAGGTGAGCTCTCTCACGAACACACTGCCATGCCTGTCGGACAGGTGAGCTCTCTGTAAGCCACATGAGACAGGTGAGCTCTCTCCTACCTGGCTGCCCTTGGGACCAGGAGGCCCTGTGGCTCCGGGGAGGCCAGGCTGACCCTGCCAGGACAAGAAGGAAAGGTTTCTTAGTTAAAAAAGCAACTCCTGCTTGTAGAGAACATAGGTACACAAAGTACAACCAAAAACTATGGGAGAAAGCAGAACAGGACCATAATTTGGATAAACCAAATTGCAAGGATACTGTTACTGGCAACACGTCAGTATCTTAGCTACTGCTTGTGGGAAGAGGAGAGGAGGGCACATCATGTGATAACCACAAGACAACTGAGGAAGGTGGAGCAAGATGAAACCGATTGAATCGATGAACTGACACTCTAGAATCACCCGACCAAGGGAGTAGAGCCCATTCCACTCTTTTCCTGAGGAAAACTGAGACAGACTCACGTGTCTTCCAGGGATTCCTGTCCCCGGGAGTCCAGGCTCCCCCCTCTCGCCCTTGTGTCCCGGGATCCCCACTGTATCCTTCAGGCCCTCTGGCAGTGATGGACACATCTCACAGGCATCCCCCTGTGCAGGGAGAGCAGACAGATGCACACAGTGACATGGCATGGTGGAGGGCACAGGTCAGCACAGGCAGAAGAACAGTACCCGCGACACCGGAGATGACGTGAATCCACTCTAAAATCTTTGCCATTCAGCTGCTCAGTAAGATAAATGTATGTTTATTTGTTGTGTGAAAAACCTTCTGTGCGAGGCACGTTCTTAGTACATGGACATTGAAGTCCACAATGAGCTGCACTATAAGGGCTGGTAGGCTGCTGGTGTCCCAGACAGTCGGACCCGTGACGTAGCCAGGCAGTGCTTTCTGTTCCACAGAGGGGTCCCTCACCTTCTCCCCCTTGGGCCCTGGCAGGCCACTCCTCCCGGGTTCCCCTGAAAGTCCTGGGACCCCCGCAGACCCCGCCGTCCCCGGATCACCCTGGAGCCCCTGGTTTCCCTGTGGACACAACCAGCGTCTGTGGTCAATCACCACGTTTAAGGAAACAAAGAGGAAAACTAAAAAATGTTTCTTACACTAATAGGTAAAAATAAAAAAAAACTTCTTTTTTGTTTAAAAAATACACAAAATCATTATGTGTATTGCTGTCCTTTGGATGAGATGTTAAACTGAGGTTCTATCTGCTAGGTCAACAATAATCCAAGGGCTGCTTGTCCACTCTGGCTTCCCTGAACCTCCAACTGGTGATGCAGTTTCTCGGCCTGATCAGAGTGCAGAGTGCTGCACATCACCCAGGGGCAGTGCCCCCCTCCTGTGTGTGAGGCACTGTGTGTGAGGATGAAGGCCGTTATTTAGACATACGTCAACAGGTAGACTGTCCTCTCCCAGCCCTGCACTGCCCTCGGGTGTTCTTCACTTACCTTCTCTCCTTTCAGTCCAGGACTGCCAGGCCGACCCTAGAGGCCAGAGACGAAGAGAGACTGTTACAGAGAAATACACAGAGAGCTGCCCCTTTCCCTTTCCTTGAGAATGAAGCCAGCCAGAACGAGGCCTTCTGACAAAATGAACATGGCGATTCTTGTCTGAACCACATCCCCCCCCCAGAAAACTGTGGGGAATGACCTGCCGTCCTCAGGAATCTGGCCAGCTGAAGGAAGACAACCGGTCAGATGATGTTGAAAAACCAGGAAGCGGAAGCTTTCGCTCGGCCTGATTTGTTTGAGAAGAGAGCAGACCTCTGTTATCAACCAGAAGAACAGGGGGGAGAATGCGACCAATCGACTGTGAGATCATAGCTTTGTGACACTTTGTAAGATATTTAAAATGCAAGCTTTGTTTGCCTTTCGTGAAGGGGTTTGGAGAGAAACCTGTCATGACGCCTATAATCAGTGGTTTAGTTGCTGTTGACTTAAGAGAGGAATGTTAAGTGCACCTCACTACACCAGTGAACCACCTTCTCCATGTGCACCCAGTTTGTTTGCGCTCTCTGGCCTCTGACATCCCACAGTCACTCCCGCAGCAGAGCTGGAGGATGAGCGATGATCACCAAGTCAACAGCCAGAGCCTCAGCTAGACCTCCCAATCAGCCAGTTCCTGTGACTACTTGCACTGGAAGAGGATCTGTTCCACCTGTGCGTCACCACAATCGCCTCAATCGCCACACCTGTCACCCCGGGAGCTGGCTATTTAGGTTTGCGGTATTTGCATTAACTTTGATGCTTATTCTTGGAGTTTTGTTTTGTGTGCTGTGTTCCACGGACCTCTTGGTTAAGAATTTGCTTGCTTGTTTTTTGGCAGCTTTTCTGTAACTTCCCCTGGACTGTGTGCTTGCCAGCTCCGCCTGCACTTGGGTTTTCCTCACTGCCCTGGGACAGTGTGGTGTGACAGGCATGAGCATCATCGTCACACCCAGAGCCGGGGAGAATCCGCTTTCTTTCCATTGCTCCAAGACCGAGGAGGGACGTCCCAGCCCATTCTGGACCCAGCACATCAGTCAGCCCCTTCACATTCTGTCTTCAAACTCATTTTTATACCCTCTCTTTTAATTCAAAAGGGTTTATTGCATTCAGGTATGTCAAATGCTTTAGTTTTGGTATATTGTAAAGTGCCCTGAGATAAAGCGTCAGAACAGGTTCGGAATTTGCAGTGAGCCAATGGATCTGACACTGGAAAAGCCTCATGTTCTCGCGTCTTTTGACTCGAAGTTTCCTGTTCCCTTCTGCACTGATACTAGGTCACAGGTCATAGGTCACAGGCTCCATATTCTCAACGATGAATCCAATTAAGTAATCAACAGCTCGGATTGACAGAAAACCGGAAGGCAGCTCGGCCTGTGAGTACTGCTACCTCACGGCATGAAACACTGACTGACGAGTCACGCGATCTCTCCAGCATTAGCCACGCCCACCCATAAATCCCAGCGCTTTCTTACCGGCTCCCCTGGCTTTCCGATCCCTGGCGTCCCGGGCTCACCCCTCTCCCCAGGCAGGCCTGCCAGTCTGATGGTGGGCTGGGGGCCACCAGCCTCTGCGGGCAGCGCTGGGCACAGGTCACAGGAGTCCCCCTGTCCAAGAAGAGAAGCACAGGTCAGAAATGCCCCTTCCTGACGGCCGAAGTGTGAAAGAGCGCCACAGACTGGGCACACCACCTGCTCTACTCAATATCGGGCTTGATCAGTGCAGAAGGTCGGGGAAAACAGGGAGAAATGGGGGAGGAGTCTATAGACTATAGCAGTGGCATCATACTAAACACAAAAAGCAGTTGGCACTCAAGTCCCACCTTCTCTCCCTTGAAGCCTGACTCCCCCTTGATTCCTGGGACTCCAGAATCACCCTGAAAGACAGAAACAGTGACTCATCCACCACGCATCCCGGTTTCTTCATTTGTGTTACGAGAGGTGGTTGTACTGACTGGTTTGCAGACAATCTCTCTGCAAGAGCCCAGCTCTCGGCTCCTTCACTGGACTTGGATCCATAGCTTGACCAAGCCACAGGACCTGCCGGGCTGCTTCCAGCCAGCTCGTCTCGGACTCAGAGATCAAACAGAAGTCATCCTGCAGCCCTCACCTTGTCCCCCTTCTCTCCATCACGGCCACCCAGGCCACGCTGTCCTGTCTTGCCCTGAAGCGGGAACGAATAACATTTAATAACATTTAATTACAGGGGTAGAAAAACTGTACAGACAAGTGCACTAAATGATTTTGCTCATGCAGATCTAAATACGTCTAGAAAAGAGTCACTACACAGTCAATTTAAGCCCCAATTCAAAGTGACCCAACACTAACCACTAACACAGCTGGAGCCTGTCTGACCTCCCACACAAGACTTGCTTCATTTCCTTAGGGCTGTAATCATAAAACATCTGTTTCACTCAACCTACCACTTGTCTTCTGATGCAGGAACTACAAACTCCGAATGTTCCAAAGTTAGAAGACTGAATTGTTATTTTCTAACGAGGAATAAACTCTAAAAGATTTACGAAGGAACATGCAATGTGTCTGTGCAACGTTTCATGTGTCAAGCTGCACAAAGTGCTCTCCCTACGGCCGACACAGCACGAAGGCTCCTCGTTGACTCTGGCGCCTCACCGTTCTGCCCTCTGGTCCTCGCTCGCCGGTGTGGCCCTGGAACACAGAGGCAGAGGGCTTGGGTCTGACCCGTCAGCGAGAACACCTGCCACGCCTCACATCCCCGCCCATCAGGCACGGTCATGGCCCTTATTACACATCAGGGTGCCCCTGAGAACAACTGCGCGCGTCTTAAACCACAACCGAGGTCAAGCCGGCACCGGAGGAGTCATGCATCTCGCTCCAGTCTCTGTGGTCTCACTCCACGAGTGCAGAAGAGGGCACCCATTCCCCCATTCCATTAGCAGCAAGTGTTCCTCTTGACCCCTAAGTGCTGGCTGGGACGCACCCCGCTTCCTAAACCACATCAGGAAGGATCTCGAGATGATACAACATCTCACCTTTTCTCCTTTCTGTCCTGACAGACCTGTGGCTCCTGGCTCACCCTGCAGAACACAATGTTACCTCCTTTTATACCACAGGACAGGATCAGTGTGCTAAACCAGCTCAGGCAGAAGGAAAATGCATTTTCATTTGGATGGAGAATCGAAAGAAAGCAAAGCGGGTGACTATGACATGTGAAGTAAAACACAAAACACAAGAACTGAACATGGGAAATATGTGGTGATTTTGTTAGATTAGCAGGAAACCTGCCACCCAGCTGCAGAGTTAACTGTAGCCTACTTGTATGTATATGTGCCCTCACTTGTCAGTGAGACTCCTCTTCCAAGCTGTAGCTGGGATGTTCCAGTGAACTAACTAAGTTAACAAACAGGGTGCCAGCAAGCACACATTTACTGTTGTTAGGAAGATTAAGAAACTAAGAACCTATAAAAAAACAGCTATTTACATAAAGAATGGTCTATAGCCGTATTTGCAGGAAAAAAATGGGACTGCAAACAAAAATGAATTGGCCTTTTAAAAATTAATAGCATTCATGGTCACAAAGCGTATTCAGGTGTGACCCGAGGAAGGCTCCAAGGCAGAAACGTTGTGTTTTTCTTCTTCTCTTTTCAGCATGGAATAAACCTTTTACTTGTTCCTTTGCAGCCTAAGCATGCTGACGCAGTGACCACCTGAAGTATTAAATACATGCACACTAAACTCACATTCAGACCTTGAGTACTTGAGTACCAGTACAGGCTGCAACCATAAAGTTCCACTGCTCTGACTGTGTGGATCCACTAGGGGGCGCTAACTCCGAGACCAGGGACTCACCGGCTCGCCTTTCATATTCAGTTTGGCCTCCTGCGCGTTGATCAGGTTGGCAGGCAGCTGGCCGAGCGTTGGGCAGAGCTCACATGATTCACCCTGGGAACACAAAAAAGTGAACTCAGTCAGAGATTCAAGCCTGGAAATATCCCTTATGCACAAATAAAAAAAAACTGCATCTTCCTAAATTTAGTTTGAGAAGCAGTTCTTCAGTGAATCTTGTCCTAAGCATCCTGTAGGGCAGTCACTTCCATGTGCTGAGTGTTATACAACTGCAATTCAACATGCGTGTGCAAATCACCGTTCTGAGATTCTCCCCTAAGACACCAAGCTGTTTAAACCTCGCATACGCACCTTCTCTCCCTTCAGCCCACTGGATCCTGACTCCCCCTGTTAAGGAAAGATAAGGATGATGAGAAAGGAGCTGGGAGAGAACCCAAGCCCATGGGAGCCATTCTGCCATGTCTTCAAGACCGCAACACATTCCACTCGAAGTGCAGAATTGGATGGAAATAAGAAATGCAATCACTGTAGACAAATCCATTTATTTTGTTGTTTTTACCTATATCATACCTTATGCCATATGGAGGGGGAATTCTCAAGTCTCCCGCGAGCCACAGAGCTTGTGCATTTTCTTAAGGCATCAGGCTAAACCTCATCAACATGCCGGCCTGAACCAGGAAACTTACCTTATCGCCTTTGATTCCCTGGAGGCCAGGAGATCCCTGGAAAGGGAAAGAGGAATGGATATCTTTAACAGTGCTCTAACTGGCCCCCTGGTCAGTCTCACACATGGGCTCTTTCGCTTGCTGTGAGCATGCACTGGCGGCCACTGGAAATCATTACAGACTAAAGCACACAAACGTTTTCTAACTGCTCCTCGGCTGAACCTCCTCAGGAGTCTCAGAAGAGACTTTCCTTGAGAGCTGTAATGAGACATACAGTATCTGTCATAGAGGCAGTTAAGTAGTGAAAAGCATCTTTATTGGACTTCGTGTGAAACCGCAGATATTGATTGAGGCCAGGCAGGTGGAGACATCCTTCTGCTTTGCTACAGGGAAGAAATCGAAGCGCGCGATTCTCCCGCTCGGCTCTCGTCCCTGCGGCGGGCTTGCAGCAGAGAGGAGGGAAACGGAGAAGGGGGGCTTACCGGCAGCCCTGGCTCTCCTCCGCCCGGGGCCCCTGGCTCTCCCTTGGGGCCTGGCTTCCCCTGCAGGGCCACGGTGTTCTCCAGGCCGTCCGGCAAGACGGGGCACACTTCACAGGGGTCCCCCTGAGATGGACGGGGAAGAGAAGGCATGGGCAGGTGCATGAAACAACCCCAGGGCTTGGGGTGCACTGGAGCTGCACACACCCCAGCCGAGGGGGACACTGCCCCCTTCAGAACCTGGCGATGCAGCACTCAGCACTCAGCCAGCAGCAGGTCCTCTGCCTCCTCCACGCCTCCAGCCCTGCACGTCTGAGCAGCCGGACGGGGGAACAGGGCCCCGCTGGGCTACTAACACACGGGTATCTAAGGCTGCTGCTGGAGGCGGCGTCAGTGGGGCCAGCAGGGGGCGCTCACCCTGCGGTCCGTGTGGGTCCTAGTGCCCCAGTACAGTGATGGGGACACTATACTGTAAACAGGCACCGTCCTTTGGATGAGACGTAAAACCGAGGTCCTGAGTAGGGGTGTAACCCCGGAGTCTTGGCCACATTTCCCATTGGCCCTTACCAATCATAGCCTCCTAATAATCCCCATCTCTGAACTGGCTTCATTACTCTGCTCTCCTCCCCACTGATAGCTGGTGTGTGGTGAGCGTTCTGGTGCACTATGACTGAATGTGCCTCTGAGCAGCCTAGTCCTGTAATAGGAAAGATAAAGAGTGTTTGAGTGAGCCCTTACCTTCTCTCCCTTAGGACCCCCTGGTCCCCTGGGCCCCTGAAGAAAACAAATATTCACAAAATCAAATGTGTGCAACAACCTACTTCCCTCCCAAAATACAAATACAAATACCTCCCTCACTATTGGCTGGGTGTGACCTTCACAGTCTTGTCCCCTCCCACTTGCAGAGGACCCATTCTGATTGGCTGATTGGTGAGGTTCTGATAAATACGTATATGGTACTTCGGATGAACTCACTGAAATGTTGGAACATGCTACCTGTCTGATTTAACATAACATGAAGTTTCGGGAAGTTTCAATGTCAAAGAAAGATGATCTATTAGACCGAGGTTAGCAGATGACATGACTTGAGGAAGGTCACATGGACATGGATGTCAGAAGCGATGTCAGAGATGTTGGGAGCCCATGACCGCGATTACTTACAGGATCCCCAGGCTGACCCTCTTGACCAGGCATCCCAGAATCCCCCTGGAAAAGAAATGCATGACATTACTGCAGAAGGCAAAGAGCTTCTTGACCAGGAGTCTGTTGACTTTACATTATTAACATTGTGTGCAAGGAAGGTTTACAGTACCGACATTTGGAAGTTTTTATTAAAATCCTATGATAGCAGAACAGTTGCAAAGCTCTGCCCCCACACAGTAGGATCAGCTTTAACCGTGTAAATTTCATTCATGATCCTCTAATCACTTTGACATTAATGACAAAACTCACTGCTTGCCTGATATACAGTAGGTCACATTATTTAATTTAATCCTTGATTTAACCAGACGGTCTACTGAGAACAAATTTCTGGAGAGTACGAGCTGAGATTGCAGGGCGTGTGCCTGAGCTATCCTTGCTCGAGGGTACAACAGCAGTGTCCCGTCTGGGATCTGAACTCACAACCCTCCGGTGCAGAACCCTGATCCCTGACCAGAGTTTCAGGTGCACAGTCAGCAGGAGGCCTGTCTGCTGTGCAATCTGTAATGTGTGCTTGAAGTGAAGGGCGATCGATCACACCTTGTCTCCTTTCCCTCCGGGAGGCCCTCCAGGGATGCCCTGTGAACAAAGCACACTCACATCACCGGCAGGAAACGACTCTGTAAACTGTTATTGAAGTGGGACCGTTCTTGGCTTTAGAATAAAAAAAACAACGCATTTTGAAGCTGTAGCTTAAAGAAAAGAGTTGCTGCAGGGTTGTAACTTCAAACAGTCTGCTGACTAGGTAAACCAGACTTTCCGTTGCACTTTTAATGTACATTTATTCATACCCTGGATGAACTGCATCCGAAAAAGTAGATTCAGCGAAGAAAGTGCAGGTGTACACCTAGATATTTGAACACTAAATTAAAAGGTGATAAAAGTGTACGAAAGGGAAGTGGGGAATAAACTTTACAACCTGGCTTCTTTGAAGAAACAGATGAGATCCTGGGATATGCTTTTATTATCCTTCAAGAGCAGCAGAAGCATTATTAAAAGGCTACAGGTATACACCAGTCTTCTTCATGCAGCCTTTCTGTTCATTACTGAGGACTGAAGAACTTTGCTATTCGTGGGATTAAAACTGTAAAGCTTCATTCTGGAGGGGTTTGAATTAATCCTTAGTTTTTTGGGGGATCTCTGGTTCCAGCTGGAGAATATTCCCGACAGGTCAGATCCTTACTGTACCTGAAGAAAGAGGTTCATGCCTCATGTCACTCACCGGCGGTCCAGGCACCCCAATTCCGGCCAGCCCTGGGACACCAGGTGGCCCCGGCTCCCCCACCAGCCCCTCTGGCCCCACAGGCCCCGGCTGACCCTGCAGACAGCAGAGGCGCAGTGAGACAGATCGAGAAGCAGGCACTCACAGGGGCAGCGGGGCTGCAGGTAACTGGGGTGAGAGTGTATGAGGAGCTGAGCCAGGCAAGGGACCTCCGGACAGGCACCTCTTCACGGTGTCAGGAGCACAGCTAAAAACCCGGAGGTCCCGTCTCTGACAGGGAGCCAAACACACAGCTCCATGACCCTGAAGTGGAAATCTTAATCGAAATCACCAACAGAGAGGGAAATGGACAACAGAAAACGTCAGTCCTGCAAACTCTTGCCCCCGGATATACATTGACGGTATTTGAATTTGAGGGCCACTGCATTTATTATTGTTGAACTGAAAAAGGACATAAACAGATACTGCAGTCTTACTTTTTGACCTTTGGGACCAACCACGCAGACCTCCCCCGGCCGGCCCTGTGGTGAGGAGAGAGGGCACTGGGATTAGGAACATCAACACCCCTGCACCCCACTGCACACACACACACACACCCCTC